CTCAAGGCAAAGTTTCTGTTTTAAGTGACAGATTTCTATTTTCTGAGCCAGTGAAACTTCTCCTCTGCTCTAATGACATTTACAGACATCCTACTCATAGCTGACATTCCCTGCAGACCTATAGAAAACCTGATGACACTCCTGACCACGTTTTCTCCGGCTTTTCTGTGTCATTTTAGTTCTTGTGTCCAGGTTTCTGTCCTTATTCATAAGCCACATACAGCTGCCACTGCATTTGTTACTTCTTCCTTCCCCAAGGTCTCTTTTTTCCAAAGGCTGAGATGGATGTAATTCTCCACTCAGCCACTCTTAAAGCTCTTTTCTGAGGGATGTAGCCTGTCTGAACTCTGTAGAACATGTGTGTGACATTAATTGTAGGACCAGTCAGCAGTTTCTGACTTCAAGAGAGTTTTACAGCTGAAAAATTTCACTCTGGACACTGGAGCCTTGGCTCAGACTGGAGGGGTGCATCACTCAAGGGTTACTTTGAAATGTGCAGGATGGGCAGTTCTGTCCTTGGTGTGGATAACTCTCACATTTTTATTTTCCAGAGGTGTTAATCTAGCACCCCCTGGAGGAAGTACATTTCAAAACACTCAAAGGAAAGAAATACTTTTAAAATCTCCTTTGATGCAATCAGTTCTGCAACCAGACTGTAAATTTTCCCAGTTTTCTACGGGTTCTTTGCAGAAATACTAATGTAATTTTTCTGTAGGCAGGTTTTCATCCTGAGATAATACATGCAATTTTTTTCTTCCTTAGACTAAACATGTCTATCTACGATTTTCTGATGAAGTGCTGGAGGATTTCTCAAACTTCATTAATTATGTGATCAAAAAGAAAACTTGGACTGTCACTCATAAATGACAAGAAGAACCATTAAAAAGGTCTGTGTGAATCTGGTCCAAGAAAAGTGAGAGTAAGTGTATGTCCATATGCTTGTGGCTAGGGTGGGCTTCTGCCAGGTAGGATGGGGGAAGATTTACTGTAGGGCTGAGCCTGGATCTGCAAAAAAAACCCAAACCCATGTCTTGGAAATCCTAAGGCTATTAGGAATAGTTCAATTTTTCAAATCAAGCGGAATTTCTTTCTTTATTAGACAGAAGAGACCATCTGCTGGGGTTTGCAAGCTACCTACCAAGTTTGATGTTTGGAAACTGAAATGTGCCAAAGGCAAGAATTTGAACTGCTTTCCCCCACCAGCCGGGGGAGAAGAAGGGAATAAATAATGCCAAAAATGTATTTATGCAGCTTTAAAATTCCATTTGAATGTAACAAAATAGTTGTTTGCAATTTATAAGTGTCAACAAAGGGGTTTTTTTATTATTATTATTAGCTCTCTTTGGGAAATACCTGGCTGCATTTATAAAGTGGTTTCAAAGACATCTGGGAGTGGTGATCAGTGCTGCATCCAGTGAAGCTCACTGGGGAAGTGTGAACAAAAGTTGCATTATTTTTGATCTCTGTTTGCCATAGGTCAGCCTCTCCTCATTGCTCCTTCTCCCCCAGTACCTGTGGTCCCTGCTGAGAGTATCTTCTCCCTGAGAACTGCATTGCATCCTGCTTCCTGCATTAGCTCCCCTGTGCAAGATTTTGGTGTGTTGGTTTTGTTTGCTTTCCTGAAAGATCTTCCTAATTTCCCAGGGAGTCCTTCCTTTGGAGGTACTGAGACTCATTGCTGCTTAACTTTGTAATTCATGGGTAATTCCATGCTGGTTGTCCCCACTCTGAAAGTGTCCCAAATAGTAGCAGTGGTCAGTAAGGGATATCTGGATGAAAAGCATAAGAAAAATTACATAAATGACATTTTTCTTCTTTCCTGTTCATGTGATGTCTCTGGCTACCTTCCTTTCTCTACCATATAAAAAGGAAGAAATCTGGGGCTGGCTGCCTGACTTGGAAAACCCTTCATGTATTCTCATTTACAGCATAGCAGGAGCATAGATTATCTGCAGGACTGGGCGATCCGTATTTGGGAAAGTGCTTGAGTAAAAGCATGTCCTTGGTATGTTTTCTTTTGCACTACAAAATTGTTTTTTCCTTACCTACAGACAAGCAGCCAGTGGTCAGAAAACATAGCTGAAGATGGCTGTGGGATAGCATTACTCTTGCTGGTTTAGGATGATTTTAAATACTTTATTTTCCATGCAGAACGCACAGTTATTGATCATGAAATATGTTTTTCAAGTTGCTTTTTCCAGATCTGATATTAAGAATTTGATATTGCTTTCTCCAGAGGTGAAAACAAAAATATGAGGAGAAAATTAAATAGCACCAGTCTTTCTGAATGTTATCTACAGGGTGATAGAGAGCTTCAAACATTAATGCAATACAAATGCATCTGAACATTTACAGTAGAATTTGAGTAGCTGCCTTCAGGTCCTTTTAAACCAAACTCCTTTTTATTTTGTACTTTGTAAGGATGTCCTAAATTTCTTTTGTGAGGGCCAGTATCAGAGGTGACAGTTTCCAGCTTGTACCCCTCCATCCACAATGGGGTATTTTCAAACTGCTGGCTTGTGTATCACTACTTGTAGGGGAAAAAAAAGAAGCAATATTTGTATCTTCTTTTTCTCCTGGCATATGTGTACCTACACAATTCAGAGCCTGAAAACGCATTCCATCTAGAATGAGCCTGAACAAAGCTAGGAACAAAGAAGAGAGGGAGGTATATTGCTAAACAAACCTTAACTGAGGGAACAGATGGGAAAGGTGATCTCTAGAAAGAGATCCTCTCCATTCTGCCCAGCTCTGGAGGGGGACAAGTACAAAATGGGGCTGTTGATAGATGGATTATTTGGAATGTGGTATAAAATTACCCTGAGCTGGGAGGGAAGTGTGGAGAGTGTACATGGAGAGCAGTTACAGCAGTCAACTGCACACAGCAGATCAGTACATCTCTAATTATTATTTGTCTGGCTGGCTAAGCAGTGCAGCATTTAAAACCTAATTTGTTGTATAATTTAATTTTAATTGAGTCTCCTATCCACACAGGACTCGTTAAGCTAGCTGTATGTTTCACTTGCTGTCTTTTTACATGGATACTATGGGAGAGCTGCAGGAGCTGAACCAATCGTGTGCTTGCTTTGTGCTATCACCGAGGTGCAGTAATTCCTTGGTATGATTGCAGAGGGATCTCTTGGCAGGACTGTTTGGAAAATATGTCTTCTCAATGCCACAATATAACAAAACAACTTCTTCTCTTAGCTAATGCTACAGTTTACACAAAAGATTTGGTTGTTGGGTTGTTAGTTGCGTCTCCCATGTGTTGGTATTTCCCTCTGCCACTCAGAGATAACAATTACCAGTCACTGTGAGCAGTAATAAAAATGAAGCAGCATGACAATTCTTTTGAGTGATTGCAACTTCCATTGATGTGCCTCCCTTCAAATGTATAAAAGGCTCTATTCCTCAGTGAGGACAAAGGTGAAAGCAAGCAGGGTCTTTTACAGACAAACCCTTTTGGAGGAATGGACACATTAAGGTCTCAAAGAACAATTTTTTCACAATATTATTACTAAGGTAAGAGTTAAAAACTAAGGTCAATTACAAAAAGCTCTTAAGTACATGCATGAATTCTGACAAATGTGTGCTTAGATCTTTTTCCTCACCTGGGGATCATGTGATTGGGACAGTGGAAGAATACTATGTTAGGTATCAGTCAAAAGTGCAGATCCAAACATTGCTATATTTGAATACTTTTGTTTCTAGCAGTGGCCCCATACAGGTGTCTTGCACAGGCTATGAAACTTCAATGGCCAAGAGGAGCTGCACAGATCCAAAGAGAGAAAAAAAAAGCAAAATGTGAAAAGTCAAGCAGTAAAAGCAGCACAGGGCTAAGGCTGGTTCAAGAAAAAAAACTGTGGAGGAAGCCACGTTGTGATAGTTTTGTGTTCGCCCTGGGATGCCTTTGGCAGCTGCAGTGTGCCTGGAGCTCTGGGTTTTGTGGTTTTCAAAACCTTAACCCTGAGTGGAACCCTAACCCTAACAACTGCACGACAGTCATACTCTTTTACACAAAGGCCCACCAATTGGACGACATGGCAACGAGGTGGTCGATGCAATAACAAAGAGACAAGTCCAAGTTCGGAAAGCTTTGTCCCCGATAATTCCAGGGTTTACCCTGTAAGAGTTTTCTGAGCAAAACTGGTGGTGCCCCCTGCACGTGTGACCCCTTCCTCACTGGACACTGATCCTGCCTCAGTCCAGCTTGCTTTTGAAAGTCTGGAACAGCAGCGTGTGTTGTTTATTTATCCACTGATGGCAAACCAAAGCCTGCTCAACATCCTAGAGTTAAACTATAACAATTTTTTGGTGGATGAGACCGCTGAAACCACCTGAGCCGGCTTCTAGCACACACGGTCGCAGCGAGACGACTGATCTGCCCGTAACAAAGATGGCGGCGAGCGGCCGGGCCCGCCCACACCCGAGGTTCCTGCCCATATCCAAAATGGCCGCCGGGGCATCACCGCTTCTCAGCCCCTCCCCATCCCTGTTTT